GGCAGATAAAGGCAGCAGGAGTCCCAGTGACAGAGGTTCCTGCGAGGTACAAAGTAAGTCCAAGAGCCAGGGTGAAATCCTCAATGGAAAACATCCATTGAGGGGGAGGGATAGCTCAGTGGTTTGAGCATTGGCCTGCTAAACCCAGGGTTATGAGTTCAATCCTTGCAGAGGCCATTTAGGGATTTGGGGCAAAAATTCATCAGGAAAGGCAGCAGGAGTCCCAGTGACAGAGGTTCCTGCGAGGTACAAAGTAAGTCCAAGAGCCAGGGTGAAATCCTCAATGGAAAACATCCATTGAGGGGGAGGGATAGCTCAGTGGTTTGAGCATTGGCCTGCTAAACCCAGGGTTATGAGTTCAATCCTTGCAGAGGCCATTTAGGGATTTGGGGCAAAAATTCATCAGGGATGGTACTTGGTCCTGCTGAGAAGGCAGGGGACTGGACTCGATGACCTTTCAAGGTCCCTTCCAGTTCTAGGAGATAGGCAATCTCCATTATAAATGTCCTATATATATATATATATATATAAAAAAATCCTCTGCTTTTATCCAGCAGTTTCTCCTATCATTTCACCAAGGCTTTGGGGATGTTAAAATGGTTAATCAGTTAACTGTTGCAACACGGTTCTACTGTCGGGCCCACCATTTGACCCCACTACGGCCATGGGGTCCCACAGCTGGCTATCACTGAAGTTAAGTGGCAAGGGCCAGTTAATTCATAAGTATACAAGTAAGCCTTATGCTTACCAGTAAGTTTACCAGTTAACTGGTTGATGCCCTTACAAGGCTTTTGTGAGAGCTACAAGCGCCACCGTTGTGGGAGCACTGGGAAGGTGCTTTTCCACTCGCAAAGGGTGCAGTTTGAACTTTTCTGATGATTGTCTGCTACTGCTGCATAGAGAGAGACTGATGAGATCTGTTAGGAAGAGTGGGAACAGGGCCTCTCTGTCCCACAACAGAAGAGTTCAGACTGTGGGCTTTGTTTAGCACTGGAAATGAAGGACTTTCGTAGCTGTGCTGCGGGGAGCCATGCAGTTCTGCATGAGCCTGAGCTTGATGTTGCGGTAATACTTTCACAGTAAATGTCTCTTCTGGTTTTTCCTCCACTGTTTCTGCAACTGTTATGTCTCATGCTTGTCAGAATGAAGCAATACTATGGGGAGGGAGTGCATGGTAGGAATTGTGGCTTTTGAAAGTTCATCATGAGGTTTGGAAATAAAACCCCTTTCTGTGCACATACCAATGGTTTAATTAAACCCCAAAGGATGAGCGCAGAGGTGGGGGCCAGGCTGCTGCATGACAATTCATTTGGCAGGGTGTAACCTTGCCCAGGATTTTGTATGGGAGGGAGGGAGAGGTGCAAGGCTGGCCCTATCATGAGGCGAACTGAGGCGGCCGCCTCAAGTGCCAGACCGTGTTAGGGGGGGCGCAGTAGGACCCAAAGTGTAGAAAATTGTGTCTGCTGCTGGTGCGTATGTAGGTAGCAGAGCAGTACCATGAGAGAAGTAGAACAGGAAGAAGGCAGAATTGAGACCTTTCAAAGTTTTGGCCCAAGAGAGGCATCATTTGAGCTCCCCACCTCAGGTGCCAAAATGGCCCTGGAGAGGTGAATTCCTCTAAACAACATGACCCTGTGTTAAAGCTCCATGCTGAAACTGGCAGCCATTGTCACCCCTTTCTGCATCAGGAAAACAGAGATTTGCTTCTCCGGGTTTAGAGAGGCAGCCGTGTTAGTCTGTTTCAGCAAAAACTACAAGGAGTCCAGCGGCGCTCCTTGTTTTTTATTCTGGGCTTAGTCAAAGTGCTAGAAAGTTTGAGAACAGTCAGCCTTCCTTCTAGTGCTTTCCATTACAGTTGTCTGCTAGGAGTCTTTCCAGTGGCAGTGCTGAAGTGTCACACCCCAAAGGCAGTGTGTGGATTAACCAGTTCCAAGCATCCATGTTGCACAAACCACCGCAGCTGGCAGTTTCAGCACAATGGCTGAATTGGCCACGGAAATCGAACTTCTCGCCATCAGAGGCAATTCCTCCAGGCCAAGGCTGAGGTGCCTTGGTAGGGGGTGATAGGTACTGCTGGGTCTGGATGTGCTATTTAACTATAGTCAAGGGTGGGCTTTTTCCTATTCCTCTTCAACCCAAGCAGAGTGAGTGAATATAAAGCTGTCAGTTAAGCAGAGCAGCAAACATGTCATCTGGAAAGGCAGGCTCTCAACTGTTATTAAAAATACATAATAGACAATTTCACAATAACTTTAAAACTGACATCTAGGTTTATGGGGTATTTGAATTTTGAAGGCATATTTTGCATTTTATTTATAAATTCTGTGCAGATGTTCAATGTTCTGTACAAATCTGGTACCAAAGTGTATCTGTTGTAGCATGTCAGAAGCTTGAAAAAACATCCGTGGCAGAGAATGCATAGCTGCTTTGATGCAGTCTCTTGTTTGTCTCTTACAGCTGCTGTTTTGACTGCCAAGATTCAAACGTATCAGGAGCACCTTCACATGCACCCCAAGGTAATTCTCATGAGAGATGTAATCTACAAACTTGAGACCAGCCAGAGAGTCTTGTACTTTGATTCAGAATTAGAGGATTTTAATGGTGTGGGAGATCCTAATTCAGTTTTAGAAATGTTTGTTTCTCCTCCCTTCTAAAGCAGTGAGGTCACTGGTAGGGTTTGAAGCTTGCCTCTGCCTCCTGTGCTGCTGCTTCTCTATCAGAGGCACCAGCAAAGAGGAGGGGAAGGCAGGAGCCAATACACGTGGGGAGCCAGCTTTTAAGCCAGCTCTCCATGCAGCCGCTACCCACCCGCCTTGCTGCCTCTCACAGAGACGGGAGGGGCAGGCAGGAGCCGCCTGGCCTCTGCCCTGCCTCGGCCCTGCTGCTGCCTCTGTCAGGGCAGGAGAGGCTGCCGCGGAGCAGTCTCTGTCCGCAGCAGGTCCAGGCTCATCACAAACAGAGGCTGCTCTGTGGGGTGCCAGCACAGCCTCTGTCTATGGGGAGGGGACAGGGGCTGCTTCTTCCCCACAGGGCAGCAGGCAAGAGCCAGTGTAATGGGTAGGGGGAGTGCTGACCAGTACCCACTGACAAAGGGTGTGTCTACACAGCAAAATTATTTCAGAATAATGGCCGTTATTTCGAAATAACTATGTGAGCGTCTACACAGCAATTCCGTTATTTCTAAATAACAGACGGCTTATTCCAACTTCTGTAAACCTCATTCCATGAAGAATACCACCTGTTCTGAAAGAGCTATGTTGAAATAAGGCGTGTGTAAATGCTCCACTTCTGCTATTTCGAAATAGTCCCTCACGAGGGACTTTCTAAGTTATTCCTCCTGGGGCTCTAAATCGAGATAGGCTTACCTAATGGAGACACACTGCCTCGGACTAATTTTGAGACTTCCCTGCGGTGTAGACATTCTATTTTGAAATAAACTATTTCTGAATAACTATTCTGGAGTAGCTTATTCTGAAATAACTGTGCAGTGTAGATATAGCCTACGGGGTTAAACTCAGGTAACTAGTTATGGTGGAGGCCAAGAGAATCAACTGAGGCTATGTCTAGACTGCAAGCTTCTTTCGAAAGAAGCTTTTCTGGAAGAGATCTTCCACACAGCAAAAGCGCCACATTGGTGGGACGTTATCTTGCATTTAAGTTGTGATTAGTCTGGATGGAGTGGCCACCAGGGCACCTGTGTTGTTTCCTGGAGGCCTCATCTTTCAAAAGAACTCCCTCTTCTGCATCCACACATGCCTTTTTCCGAAAAACTTTTTTGGAAAACGGCTTCTTCCTCGTAGAACGAGGTTTACCGCCATCAGAAAAACCCCTCCATTCTTTTGACTTTCTGTCGAAAGCATTCAATGGCAGTGCGGACGCAAATATTGTTTTTCCAGAAAGATGGTCGTTTTCCGGAAAACGCTACAGTGTAGATGCACTGCGATAAAGGATTGAAATTTGAATTGGATATAGATTCCTTGCCTGCTTTTTTTGTGTGGGAGAGAGAGATCAGGAGTTGAGAGACACAGAATGATTTAAACCCAGTCAGGACTACCATGCCTCCAAGAAATTCAGAGCGCAGGATTGGACAAAGAGAAAATTAGAAGTAAATAAATAGAAAAGTGAATCTAGTCTTGTTCAGAGTGTTTTTTTTTTTCTTTATTTTGTGGTTTATTTTGTGGTTTGGTTTGAACTGTTCTCTGTGAATCTCTGCCTCCCCTCCCCATTTACCATCTAGCATTGTGCCCAGAGGCTTTTCTCTGTGTTTTTAATTTGTTTTCCGTAGTTGCCCTGTAACCTCTACCCACCAAATATGCTTTCTCAAGTTTATCTTTTGTTTTGTAATAAAAATAACTCTTTTTAAGGCGGTGATCAGATTCTTGTGTTCTGAAGGAACAGGAGGTCTGCATGTCTCAGGCTGAGAGGTCAGCTACCAGAGACTGCAGCTTGTTTTTCTGTTTCCAAGCTCTTTTAGGGCAAAAGAGCTTGGGGTACCCCTGGGGGTGGTTTCAAGTGTTCACCTCTGGTTTTTAGGGATAAAAATTACTTGATGGTGGCAAAGACCTCCCAAAATCAGTGTATTGTGATTGGGGGAGGGGGGGGGGGGGGAGAGCGAG